TGTATTTGTAATGAGTAAGGATGAGACATATGGACGAACAACTTTTTTATTACAATTAAGAGCGATGGCTTCGGTGTAGGTTCTAACACCGTTATCAAGCAAGTGAAGTACAGAGTATGGTTGACAAGAATATATTCAGGATAGGAGGCAGTGTTTATACAGTGGAGTAGGTTTAAGATCAGTTACACTGTTGTATTTGTAATGAGTTGTGTTTCTGCATGAAGTTAGTCAGTGAATGCAGCAACCTTGTCCATGACACTTTTGGAGGAACATACACACAAGCCATGCAGAACTTACCAACCAGAAAGGAAATGTATTCAAGACTGCGAGATGACATTATGTGCCAAGTTTGGTGAAGAAATATGGTACGTTTTTCAAGATCTGCTCCGGAAACGAGGACTACCGCCATTTTCAGTCAAAGTCCAAAGCCAGAGAAACTCGAAAAATATTTTTTTGTTAAAATCCCAAACTATCAAAAGGCACCATTTCACTAGGCCTATCCATGTGCCAAGTTTGGTGAAGAAATATGGTAGGGTTTTCAAGATCTGCTCCGGAAACGAAATGTGACGGCCGGTCGGACGGCACCCATTCCTATATCGCCCTTCCACTTCGTGGCGGGGATAAAATGTGGTTGGATAAGCCCCCGTCCTACGGGCTTGGCAAAGCATATGTTAGGACCCAGCTATTTGTATGCCAAGTTGTAAGTGCTGAGTTACATGTAGTGGTATCTTAAAAAACTTTGGCTAATTATTATCATGCAAGGTAGTCTGTCACAATAATGAAAGTTCACATGCTCTTGTTCCTTTGGTGAATTAGAGGAGTGATGGTCAAACCAGTTTGTGGATCATTAACAACAAGTATTTGTCACAGAGTGACGAAATATCCCCCGCCTGTACACCATAGTACCAAATATGAAGACAATCCAGCGATTAGTTCTTGAGATATTGTGGCAACACCGTTTTCCAACTCCAAAAACAGATTTGCCTGCTGTGACCTTGAAAATGGGGTCAAGGTCACCAAATCTGACAGGTGTATGCGGTGTCTGTATATACACTATAGTTCCAAATATGAAGACAATCCAGCGATTAGTTCTTGAGATATCGCGGCAACACCGTTTTCTAACTCCAAAAGCAGATTTGCCTGCTGTGACCTTGACAATGGGGTCAAGGTCACCAAAACCGACTGGTGTCTGCGGAGTCTGTATATACACCATAGTTCCAAATATGAAGACAATCCAGTGTTTAGTTTTTGAGATATCGCGGCAACACCGTTTTCCAACTCTAAAAGCAGATGTCTGCTGTGACCTTGAAAATGGGATCAAGATCACCAAAACCGACTGGTGTCTGCGGAGTCTGTATATACACCATAGTTCCAAATATGAAGACAATCCAGTGTTTAGTTTTTGAGATATCGCGGCAACACCGTTTTCCAACTCTAAAAGCAGATGTCTGCTGTGACCTTGAAAATGGGATCAAGATCACCAAAACCGACTGGTGTCTGCGGAGTCTGTATATACACCATAGTTCCAAATATGAAGACAATCCAGTGTTTAGTTCTTGAGATATCGCGGCAACACCGTTTTCCAACTCTAAAAGCAGATTTGTCTGCTGTGACCTTGAAAATGGGATCAAGGTCACCAAAACCGACTGGTGTCTGCGGAGTCTGTATATACACCATAGTTCCAAATATGAAGACAATCCAGTGTTTAGTTCTTGAGATATCGCGGCAACAAACAGGTGGGACGTACGGACGGACGGACGGACGGACGGTCGTGAATACTATATCCCCCATTTCGCGCTTTCGCGCAGTGGGGGATAATGATTAACCTAACAGTTTGGATCTACAAATAGCCTACAGTGCAATCTCCAAATCAGCACCCCTTGTATACATACCCCAATATGTCTTTGGACTCAATTTTAGGCCCTGATTTGCTTGGTTACTTTACTGCATGCATCAGTGACCCAAAGCTAGTAAGTGAAACCTGAACATGAATGAAATGCATGTTTAGATTGACTATCACCATGTGGTGGAGACGTGGACATTGTTCAACCCACTGCATGTTTAGACTGACTATCACCATGTGGTGGAGACGTTGTGGACATTGTTCAACCCACTGCATGTTTAGATTGACTATCACCATGTGGTGGAGACGTTGTGGACATTGTTCAACCCACTGCATGTTTAGATTGACTATCACCATGTGGTGGAGACGTTGTGGACATTGTTCAAACCCACTGCATGTTTAGATTGACTATCACCATGTGGTGGAGACGTGGACATTGTTCAACCCACTGCATGTTTAGACTGACTATCACCATGTGGTGGAGACGTTGTGGACATTGTTCAACCCACTGCATGTTTAGATTGACTATCACCATGTGGTGGAGACGTTGTGGACATTGTTCAACCCACTGCATGTTTAGATTGACTATCACCATGTGGTGGAGACGTTGTGGACATTGTTCAACCCACTGCATGTTTAGATTGACTATCACCATGTGGTGGAGACGTTGTGGACATTGTTCAAACCCACTGCATGTTTAGATTGACTATCACCATGTGGTGGAGACATGGACATTGTTCAACCCACTGCATGTTTAGACTGACTATCACCATGTGGTGGAGACGTTGTGGACATTGTTCAACCCACTGCATGTTTAGATTGACTATCACCATGTGGTGGAGACGTTGTGGACATTGTTCAACCCACTGCATGTTTAGATTGACTATCACCATGTGGTGGAGACGTTGTGGACATTGTTCAAACCCACTGCATGTTTAGATTGACTATCACCATGTGGTGGAGACGTTGTGGACATTGTTCAACCCACTGCATGTTTAGATTGACTATCACCATGTGGTGGAGACGTTGTGGACATTGTTCAACCCACTGCATGTTTAGATTGACTATCACCATGTGGTGGAGACGTTGTGGACATTGTTCAACCCACTGCATGTTTAGATTGACTATCACCATGTGGTGGAGACGTTGTGGACATTGTTCAACCCACTGCATGTTTAGATTGACTATCACCATGTGGTGGAGACGTTGTGGACATTGTTCAAACCCACTGCATGTTTAGATTGACTATCACCATGTGGTGGAGACGTTGTGGACATTGTTCAACCCACTGCATGTTTAGATTGACTATCACCATGTGGTGGAGACGTGGTGGAGACGTTGTGGACATTGTTCAAACCCACTGGCTGCCACGTAGGAGCTAATCATTATGCAAGGGACTTGTGTTTTGTGGCTGACCTTGGACACAAAATAAGAACAACACAAATTGTCATTTTCTTCCTTGTTTAATGATTTGTTGATAAATAATCTGGTGGATACATTTGATTTGATAATTAGTGAAAATGAAAAAAACTTCAGGATAATCTGTTTAGTTGTTATTGTGTTCAATTGGGTTGAATTCATACACAAAATGTTGATAATGATTATCTCACGATATATGATTTCAATGATGACACTAAAATCTTGCAAATAACTAAAATCATAGATATTAAAACAGTTTATACAAATTTGTACAATTTACAGTATGTTCAAAATCATACAATTACAATGGCCCATCAAAGCACTTGCAGAAAGATAACAGGGGGATACTTCACATGCAGTATTAACACACTTCATAGAATGTACATATTTGGAACAATTCATGTCCATATGTACAGTTATAAATAATAATGACACTGAAGCACATACAACAATGGAAGATGACTGTTGAGCATCAGACATTAGGCACCAAGCTGAGAACATTGGATATCTACATCTCACAACTGGTGATGCTGATGGTGACAAGGGGAGGTAACTTGCAAATGCAGATATACAGAAGTTATCTCCCTTGGAAAAAAACCCACCAAAAATGTAAGAAATTAGATAAATCATTCCAATAATCTGGTAACATCTAACATTAACAAATTAAAATTATTATATTGGTATACCTACAAAAACAATTAAAATTTCTAAGTACTAGCCTAACAAATGTTTGACATATTTGTTGGGACATAACATACCCAAGTAACTCATGGTTTTGTAGAATATCTTAAAATATTGAACTGCTCACACCTGCATACTTAACTATACTTGAACAACAATATCCAAATTTGAGATAGGGAAAGCAAACTAAATAGAATACACACAATGTATTGTGCAACAACCGTGAATATTGACACAAAATCTACTGACTGACAACTTGAAAAGTGGCACTGCCAAAAGTGTTCAGTAAATTACTAATGACAGATTCACAATGATATGATGACCTGAATAATGAGTATTGCTACAGATATTTTATTGATATTGATATCAAATTTGTAACCAAATACTCAATACAAAGTGATACCATTTGACATATACATAATGAAATTGAAACCTATTGTTTGAAACTAGATTCAAAGAACTTGATGAATAAGCAGCCCATGCGTCATGAAAACCTAGGTCCAAGACTATAAGTATCAATTTTGATAACAAATGTCTTTACCGTCCTTAAAGGAAATAAGAGTGAAGTGCAGATACCAGGGACATTCAGATACAAGGTGAAACAGCAGGATAAAATTAATGTGTACAAGACTTAAGACATCTACCCGAGGCAAGGGAGTTAACTGACTATGAAAGTCCAGTTTCCACCCTTGATGAACTAGGCTGGAATTCCTGGGCTCGATCGTAGCGGCACCAGTGCCTATTACGAGCTATGTCCCTCCTATGCCTCTCCTATTGACCAAAAAGACTCCAACACTCGTATCACTTGCATTTGATTCAAACAAAATGGCAGCACCCAGTCAAGACGATCTGATCGATAACCAAGATCTGTATTGTGATAAAACAGGTCTTACATCGCAAAGTGCATCAAATCATTTGCACATCTTGATTAAAAACATGAAAAGATTAGGAAAATATCTGTTGACGACAAGTTAGCGGTGCACATGCTTTGCAAATCCTGCAATTGACCGAATTCTGCATGACAGTTTACGAACCGGATTTCGATTTTGTTGCGCGATTTTGATTGGACTATGCATGGACTCGTTAGTCCAGCCAAAATGTAACTCCATAATACCAGCCTAGTTCGGCAAGGGTGGAAACTGGACTTTTAAATTCAGTTAACTCTTTTGCCTCAGGAAGATGGACATAAGATCATCATCCTGATATTGTCTGGGTAAAGCTATCTGCTTATATCTTTAACATTTGGCATTCAAGCAGTAATCCTTGAAATCATGTGACAATGGCTGTTAATGGATTATTCACATCTCTGCTCCTTTGAAGTATTGAAAGAACACTTAAAAGTAAATCATAATTTGGGTTTCACACCACTACTGTTTTGTACATCGGAGTTGTGAACATCATGTAAGAGGGAATGATTAGGTAGTTACACACCCATGTGGTAAATAGGGTACCTGATCTTATGATGCATAGATCACTGTGTACAAATGAGAAGTATTGTGTCAGAACTGACTAACAAGAAGTAAATATAGCAAATTGTGGGAGATGACAAAGTCACACATTTTATCATGATTGAAATGAAAAATTAAGGCACTTAAAAGCAAAGAAGAAAAAAATGATTCAAAAGTCCTCAGAACAAAAATAAAGAAAAGATGAAAAAAACCAACCAAATCAATTAATCCGTTTTTACCATGTAAAATTGATTACTTCCAGATGGAATTCTTACTAATATCATTTCCACTCACAGCCAAACATAACAAATAATGTAACAATCAACAGATAACAAAGTAAATCTGTAACAACCAAAAGTAATGCAAACCCCAATTGTCTTCCTGTCTACTTACAAAGATGGCAGGAATTACTTTAGTAATATTACATGTCTTCGCTTGTTGAAGATTATTCGTGTTGGTGATGTTTGTTAATTATAGGTTAGATTGTTTCATTACATCACTCATCATGTTGTGTATTTTTATCACATTTTCATGGATAGTTCTATTATTCTGATATGTGCAACAGAGCTCCAGATAGCTTTTTGAGCAATTGAGTTTTTACTCTACAGTTTCTATTTTAATTGGGTTATTACATTTTTCATTGGGTAATATTTTTTTCACTTATCTATTCATCACGCTATTGGATTTTCCCCAAAAATAGTGAACATTTTAAGATATATATAAAAAAGAAATAATGTGTTAGATGTATATAACTGTTCTAAATAAATAGGCTTGACCAGGCTTTCAGGCTTGAGCTGAAAGTAAATTAGCTCGTAATTGTGTTTAGGAAATTAGCTCCTTTGTATGCATGCTGAAAAAGCTTCATTGGGAATTTACACGAGCTGTTTTTTAAACATTTGAGTTTTTCATTTAATGCATGCATTTCCGTACACAAGTATATTGAAAGTAATTGGATTTTGAATATTTTTTTTGGGGGGGGGGTATTTTACGCAAATACGCTGTTTGTCTGTAGCTCTGGTGCAATGACAGGATTTTATCTTCAAGAAAGCACCTGATTTCCAAACTGAAAAAGATCGCCGAAATCTATCATACCACACCTGTATATACAAAACTATTATTCATAGAAAATCAAGTTCCAAACATGTAATGCCAACCCAAAATGTTAAACTGAGTTAAATACAGTTGAACATTGTAATGTGACCATGAACTCCTGACAATCAACTGACATTCTATTTCCTACATTCAAGAGACATCTTATATTATTGCCATTTAGAAACAAACAAAATCCATCGCTCTTAAAAAAAAAAGATATAAATTTGTTCACTGAAATATAAGCAGTTTCACATACTGTGTAATTTAATGTGTATAAATCAGACAAACAATATGGGACAGGTTTCACATGATGACAGAAATAGTATTTTGTAGATGTGGGTTTGTGTGCCTGGCAGTATGGCACTTATCCCCTAGAATGCCCGGGGTAATATCTATACATTAAGTACATACATACATTATACAGAACAACCTGTATGAGAACAATACACATTAAAATGTAGTCGAGACATTACATGTTAAAGCATTACAATGAGATACATAGAGCACTTTTCCTCGTCTACTCCCTCTCTCCTTTGACTGGCACACAACTTCAGGAACTACGGCATGTACAGTACAGCAGATCACAGGGGACACTTGTACTCCACAACACTACGTGGCAGTGTTAGGAGCTGCCCAGTCACAAGCTCTTGCTTTCAGGACAGCACTTGAAGAACATCTCAAATCAACAGTAAACGAGGGATTTCTCTGCTGAAATAATGCTTTTCATTCTAGAAACATACAATGCTTACCAGTGTGGTGGAGAATGATTAACACTGTGCAATTAACAATAATCTCACAAAAATTGCTTTGACTGCTTTTGAAAGTGCCTACACAGAAAGTACAAGTTGTAACAAAGGTTATAAACACTGCACTGTTCAGATTCATAGTACAACATGACTGAACACAAGTACAAAAGATACATGTATGTAAAGATTTATGGGAAAAACAGTTAATGTTGACCATACTACATACTTTTCAAAATGATGTGAAAATATTTGAAATGTTTGACAAACAAAACATTGAGGTGTAATAAATGAAATGTATCTGTTATCTTCCCTCAAACAACAAATGACCTCCATTATATTGTGAAATATAAATTGGACACATATTCTTGCTTTACGGGTTGATCTATCTTCAAAATTTCAGTTATATTGGAAACCTATCTGAGTAAATTGTAACTTCCAAAGTTAGCTATCCTGTGGTGTAACAGGGCAATTATTGTATACTACGCAAGAAAGGTTAAGGACCACCCAATTCTTTCATATTACCATTGTTCATCTGTCATGCCATGTAAGATTAACTATAGTAATATGATAGAATCGGGTGGTACTCAACATATTTTTCATAGTATATTCAATGTTGATCAATCAACTCTACTCTCATCCAATATTGTTTTCTCCCATCTCTGGACTCAACCTACCTAGACCCCAATTGTGAAATTTGGAATTATGAATTTATTATTTACATATCTGACCCAACCTCCCCACCCCTCCCCATTAAAACCTGTCTATCTACAGTGATGACATCAGTATGTTACAGATCACAAGCTACTATTGCACTTTCATGAGATGTATGTACAAAATTTACAACATGGGATATTGTTGAAGCTTGTCTGTCCATTGTGTGTAGAGGCACAAACACAAGAAACTACGGAGGCACTCCACTGATGAATCTACCAGTACTCTTACAGCTAAGGGTTTCAAAATTCAGGGGGGTTCCTGGGGTCTTCAAGATGTTCCATGGTATTTGAATGTAAGGACCCCCAAAATCTTAAGATTTTAACATTAGGATAATGACAGGGTCTTCTACTTGCCTGCTTAGTTTCAAACATTGTTAAAGATACATGTTCCACCCATACAGGACCTTATTCAACAAACCAATTTAAGTGCCATTACTGTCGTATATCTTCTCCTTCAACACAGATGTATCACAGTCGTGATGCTAAGATAAACTTGCAGAATGTGGCCAGTGGCTCCGTTCCACAAAGCAATCTTAGTGCTAAGACAAGTACAAGTCTAAGTTAATGGCTGTCATGATAATCATGGCACGCAATAGGATTGTTTTGAGGGATAGGTCCCGGAACACACAAGCTAGAAGCACCATAGTTGATAATTCACATCACTTACATCTTGTGTATTAAAATAACATGGATTCTATATTTGGCATTCCGTAGTTGTATTGATAAAGTTCTTGATATAACATAATTTTGTTGTCGCCATGTTATTAACCTCACAACATATGTACTACATACTGGACATACAGTTAATGTTATCACATCTGAATACAGTACCAGTATACATAGCCATGCCAGAATGTCACATTAACAAATACTTTCAACAAAAATCACTAAAAACAACCTAGATTTTATCATATATTTACATAAGATCTCCTGAAATCTCATGGAAGTGACTGTATAAAATAGTAAGAAATGTAGTTCTGTCAATAATGTGTGATCTGCTGCATGTTTCTATTAAGTGATCGGTGTGGTCAATGTACCCATCTGATTGGGTCTGAATGGGCGTGGCCATCTGAGGGCCTGTCCCCCTGCATGGCTGGACAGAGGAGGCTATGGTGTGTATGCTCCTGCTTCTCCTGTATGTGGACTTGGGGGTCAGGAATGGGAATCTACTGTGGGAGATCTGCTTGTAGGTAGCACACGGTACCTGGTCAGGCTGATATTAATATCACAGATCCTCATGCTCCTTCTCCAACAACAAATTACTGGAATTAGCTTAAAATCACAGTTTAAAGTGGAAAAGGAACCCTTGTGTATATAGCTACTCTATAATATTCAAAGTTGCCGTCATACTAACTTATTGTCGGGTTCAGGGTCGACATAGTACTTTCCTGAAACAAAAAAGAAGATATGTTAGCTCTCTCTATTAGTTTCTGTTTTATATTGCAAATAATGATATCAGTTTTTTTGTATGTTGTATCAAAAAAAAATTCACACTTTTTGTACTATCTGAAATGTAATCTAACTAAACAAATTAGAAACAGTCTGATCATGGGAAAGATAAATTGTTATAGGGGCGCTGGAGAGAAATAAGAAGGAGTCAAACTACATGACTTGTACAGGGGGAGGTGAAGTAGGCCACAGAACTGCCTATTCGACCAGGTGATGGGTAAACAAATTGACACAGCATGGTAGGCACCCATACCAAAGCTACAGAAGCAGTTCCCACTGACCTGAGGCAAACCTCTTCTTTGCTAGTGATATCCTATAGCCTGGCCCAACTAGTTCAAACTCCACCCCTGACAGTGTGGTGCCCTCACACATGAACTGTAGGGCAGTGGTGGATGGCACACTTGGACCTGTCTTCAGCTCAAACTTGGACCGGATACATCCCTGGCTCTCCTGCTCGCTCACCTCGGAGATGTCGTTCAACTTCCATGTTGCTCGACTGTTCTCTTCATTCCTGAAATAGACACAAATTATCGGGAGGTCCAAACTAGTTGGAAATAGAGGATACGTTGGAGTGAGTTGGGTTTACGCAGCTTTGAACAGTATTTCAGTAACATCACAGCATGTCTGCTTAATGTGCAAGGAGAGCCCAAAATGATGCAGGTCTCAAAGGTTTACCTTGTAGTGAACCCACAAGCACAGGTATGGTGCTGACAAACCTAGAAACGTAACAGGGTTACCCGCGAACCCACAATCAGAAGTTACCTAAGGGACTCTGCACAGCGAATTGAGGCACCCTAGACAACTGGGTCACCTATGTCATACAACAAGCTTGTACCTTATCCAATTGCGTGGATCAATTCTCATGATGTCAATACTTGATTGTCTGGTTCAGACTCGATTATTTACAGATCGCCATCATATAGCTGGAATATTGCCAGTGTGGCATTAAAAAAACAACTTTGTTCCACTCATGGTAATGCTCCCAATAACTAATATGAAGTATTTGTCATCCTAGATACTACGACATGCTCACCAGTGCCCAGGGGGAATGCTCTGCATCTTGGTGACGCCTCCACTGATATTGACAGCAACAAGAACATTCTTGAGCGTTGCAGCGGAAGCCATGGAGCTGGCATTGTAACGGTAGTCGAGGCGATACTCGGTGTTCTTGTCCTCGCATTTCCAGTACACAACCAGAGGTAGAGGAGTGCTCTCAACGCCAGGGTGAGCCCGCACCTACAGACGTACCAGATCAAATTATTAACAGTTTGTCACATTCAGGGAGGGGATGAATTGTTTAACGTTCCTGAAACCGTGTTTCAAGTATATCAGAGCCTTCCAATTTAATGTGGGAGGAAAAGTGCTCAGGTGTTTCCCACTGTGGAGGAACCCATGAGCACATGGAGGGTGTTAGCAAACCAAGGCACATATACTCAACATGGTAAATCTGGGAACACAACTTAATTTCACATTCAGCTTGATGTCAAAGGTAACATATTAACAATGTTGATATTTTTGTAGTATTAATAGAAACAGCAAAAACAGTATATGCATAGCTGCTAAGAATCACACATCAGCCAATGAAAACCTTCATCACACACCATTGCACCGGTACATTTAGGCAACACCCCCCAAAATGTTCGTTTTTGAATCAAAGCGTGTGATTTCAACACCTACACTTGGACATTTAAATACTTCCTACTAATGTTAAGAAATTTTTCTCCCTCAGAAATTGATAGGACAACTGATATTTGCCAAAAAATAACTATCATTTTTTGTCACTTTACTTGCCCTTTAATGATATAACAATCTGGACAAGCTGACCGTCTGTGCATCAAATCTTTTGAGACTACTAGCCCGAATATGGCTCTTAATTAAAATTTCTTTAGACTATTATTAGCTGAGCTTACGTAGCTGAACAGAATTTCAATCAGGCTTTGGCCTAGTGGCTTAAGTTGCAAACTGAGTTGACAATTGTTTATGAAACAGAATAGAGTTAAGATCACTGAAGCAATAGTTTGGTTTTGTTGGCAAAGTTAACCAACTTAGATTATCTGAAAGTTACAATCTACACAAATTCACCAATCTGAAAACAAATCCCAACTTACCTTGGAGCATGTGCCGAGAAGTAAGTGACACCCTATAGACACCAAACAGGTAGGTAAGCAAACTGAACATGGCTTGAGGGAATTACTAAAGAGGCCCCATACCTGGTATTTAATGATATCAATATTGAAGTAAGATGCTGTTTTGTTCTGTTCCCCCTGATGCCGAAGGTGGTCGACAAGAGCTCCCATGTCAAACTGGAACACGTGACTGTCTGCTGTACTCTGGTCATTGTCTCTGTCATAACACAAAATGCTGCATCAACATCTGCTTAATTTGGTCATGTTTGCTACAATCAGCACTTCCCAAATACCTGTGTAAGTAACTGTTTAGTGTCTACATGTCACCACAAGGGCAACAGATAGATCAATTAGACCTGTACCAGTGTAGGATTTACAATACTTCTACACATCTGATTGGCCACAATACATAAAATATTTTATTAATTTTAATTCTTCCTTTCTCATTGACCCCTGAATACATATACTTTTTTTTCATCAAAAGAGAAATTTCTGTGGAATATAATTTCCCTGAATTTGAATGATCACTCGTTGTGAAGAGTCTTACTTGACTAACAACTGGGTGTTTGGCATGACTTGTTCCAGTTTAGCTGCATTGCGTATTCTAAAGCTGAGCGCTGATGGTGAAGGGTTTTCTGTGAATGCTTTCACGATACCAGCAGGGAATGACATCATCAAGTTGCCCGTTGTTTTCACCGCACATCTGAAATGTCATCAGTCAGCACATACATGATTAAAGCTTTCACCAACATTCCCCCAGACAAACTGGCAAACTACCATGCCATGACATCTTGAACACACAACTCAATGAAACAAACTTGGTAAATGATGAAACATAGGATTAATTCCATTCTAATTTGTTTCCTTCTTAACAGCGGAGTTGGAATAACAATTGCAAAGAACTTTGACTTAATAGTTGCTGTTTTGGCTACACATTGTAGTTGAGGATGAGTGTCATCCCAATGTGCACAAACCCTTCAGTAGAAGACACAAAGCATCGTTTACTCCCACCAGAAAACTGAATGCACTTCCCCGTCAGTTGAACCACATGAGAAACACTAGCTACTATCATGTTAGTTGTTCTGTGGGGAGCCCCATGCTGTTAGAAAGCAACCAATGGAGATAGTTATACATCCTTCCTATAAACAAGAAGAGTGTTGCGAAACATCCATACCATACACACGACATAAACACCTACTATAGACAGTACAGCCCAAACAGCATTTGTAGAATCATAGGTTGTTGTCTTTTATCTACACAACACTATAACTGCTGCTTAGTGGCCAGGAATGGGCTTGCTAGTATAGACCTTAGTATGGTTTAGGATTAGCACTGGTCATACAGGCACAATGGAGAATAACAAGAGGTGATATGGGATGTGTGGTGCTGGGTTTGCGTGCAAGAAACAAGACCATTCTGCTAAAAAAAGCAACTTGGATGACATTCAGGGGTCAGCATAGCTTCTACACTTTCCATTAGTTGTGCTTCTGTCTACTTATCCACATTCTATGCCATACTAATCAAAAGAAGTTAAGGACCACCTGATTCCCTCATATTACTATACTTAACAAGCGTATAGTCGACGAAGTCATCTATATCCCCTGCCATTTTAACACGTTATGGTCCCAAACCAGGTAACTGACCCAACATTTCTCTTAGGTCATGTAAAAATAGCTGCAATGGAAATTCTAAAATAAACATTTATAAAATTCCTTAATATCAAATGGCACCAGTTCAGTATGTGCTTTATATATAGATATGCAATGTTTGACACGGGAAATATTTAACAGTTTATTTGTTATACTCCATAAGTGAACCCACCCTATATTAAAACTTAAATCCAACTTATTGCAATGGAAACATAAAAAATAAAAATTTCTTAAATTCTTAAATAGCAAAAGACAGTTCAGTATGTGTCTGGTAAACATGCATAGTTTTGTTAGAAAGTATTGAATGGGTTTTGAGTTATGCTCCAGAAACAAACACTATAAGTCCAACTTGTTGCAATGGAAACGTAAAACATAAATATTTATAAAACTCCTAAATAGCAAAAGGCGCCAGTTCAGTATGTGTCTGGTAAACATGCAAAGTTTTGTAAGAAATTATTTAACGGTTTTTGAGTTACACTCCAGAAACGAACAGCACCCTTATAGAACCTAAGTCCAACTTGTTGCAATGGAAACGTAAAAAATAAAAATTTATAAAATTCCTAAATAGCAAAAGGCCTCAGTTCAGTAAGTGCCTAGTAGACATGCAAAGTTTTGTAAGAAAGTATTTAATGGTTTTTGAGTTACGCTCCTGAAACGAACAGCACCCTTATAGAACCTAAGTCCAACTTGTTGCCATGGAAACGTAAAACATAAAAATTTATAAAATTCCTAAATAGCAAAAGCCACCAGTTCAGCATGAGTCTGATAGACATGCAAAGTTTTGTAAGAAATTATTTAACGGTTTTTGAGTTATGCTCCGGAAACGATTTCGGGACGCACACATGCACACACACACGGACGGAACCCATTTCTATATCCCCCGCCAACTTCGTTGGGGCAGGGGATAATAAGTCATGGCATGGATTAACTATAGTAATATGAAAGAATCGGGTGACCTTACCCTCTTTTGAGTAGTATATCATATGAGGTAAGGACAATAGGCTATGTTAGACTACAAACAAGACAATATTGTTCACTCCATGCCCTACTGTCATATATCACATTAACGGGCAACAACCAGTGATGGCTGCTTCCCTGTTGTCCTGACAACACCTCACAACACTGGGTAGTCACTATCGCTAACACAGAAGGTAGGCATATCATTCTCATATCAGTGTTATCCGTATAGTTTTGAAGCTGAAGAAAGCTGAGCTGTTGTTATGCAAAGCTGGCCATGTAAACAGACAGGGTAGTTTTCGAAGGGATCACACGATATTACCTGTTTCTAGCTACCCCTTCTCCTGAGATGGACCTGCAATACAGTTAGTAGCATGCACACAACAGTTACTAGATACACAACAGTAGTACACACGCACTCAGTGTACTGGTGGCGGGGTGGGGCCACACTCGAGGGAGGGGCACTAGCAGTAAAAGCTAGCTATACATTCTACATGTGAGGAGCTTTCCTCCAAGCTGTGACACTAACATCTATCAAAAGACAGTCTCATTTTCCATTGGGAATAAATCAATACCAACATATAGGGAAGACAACAAATATGATTCTGACTCAGATATGTGAACCCCAAATTCTCATTTGGGATGTGATTGTTTTGCGTATGTAAAATGTACTTAAATGTTTGGAAACAATGTGAAGATAAATATTGTTTGATTGAACAATTTAATTAATAACTTACATAAATAATTCTTACATTTATCATAAAGAACCTACATTAAACAAAGATATTTACAAGATACGATTATATGTGATGTTCTGCATGGTCTTGAATACTTTCCTAAACGTACTAAGACAGCACAGAAATCCATTATTTCCTTTGTTTGAAAACATGCAGGTGAAAAAATATTTTATTCCAATCTAGCTAAAACATAACTGAAGTATGTCTACAGGAGTGTTATTATCTATGTTAATCTCCAGCATGAACATGGTGTATCAGACCATCTCAAATTTTAAGACATGACGAGAAAACAGATTTGTTGTGGAGAAAATGTCACTGCTTGTCAACTTCCTGTTTGTGTTACACGCCAGCTTCTAATCTAAGCCTTTGTTAATCACAATGTAAAGGTAAGGGCAGAGTTCCTGTTTACCGGTAATTACCAGTTTTTACCTGTAGAATTAGGCTTGGACTAGTAATTCTTGTAACTGCCGGTCCCTGTGGACCGGCAAATAAAGTATCTTGTAAATCTTTGTTGTTGAACAAAACAGCATCATTAGTAAAAAAAGTATACTTTTCGAATGAAATCAGCTTGTCTGTTATCATTAGGGTTTCCCATTGTCTTTTTTTAGTGCAAGGAAATAATATTTTGCTTTGCTTCAAGGTTATATATCTATTTGTAGTGACAGTCTTGAATCAAGGTGAAATATTCAGAAATAAAAGAGAAAATTGTGATTGGACTTTGTGTGAATGACGTGTACTTCAGAAATGACAACACTGAATTTGTCAGCCATGAAAGTTCACTGCATTGAAATTAATGTTGAAAGAGTTAAAACCAGGTAATATTTATAATATTTTATTTGTTCTTTACTGACAAAAATTGTGTGGGAGTGTTAATTTTTATAGTTGCCAGTCCACTGGGACTGGCAGTTTGAAAAGCCAGCGGGAACACTGGGCCATGTTGTCTGTTTACACATAACTGTCTCTTGACAGGTGTACTCCAGCCACCCCATCACCACAGGGTGAGTGAGGACAGAGTCTGCACACAGTATGCAGGTGAGACAGAGCCAGTATATACAACAGAGGAGTCAAGAAAGCCAGACACTGGAATAGTTCAATCATTAATAACAAAGGGTGTCACATTATTAGTGGAGAAAAGGGTATGATAAAAAGTTAACACGAATGAAGGCTACAGTGCAAACTGATCATGTGAAAACCATTTATAAGATTGTAGTGACTTACTAAGATCCTGGTGCCTGTTGGACATTGAGATCCAACAGCCATCAATAGCATAATGAACTTATGTCACAGAGGGAGACTTACAACTGAAACAGGTCAAGAATCTTTTAAGGAGTGATATTGTGAAAAAGAAATAATTTGTTGTTTCTTTGTAACCAACATGTAGCCTTCATTGCTGTGTATAGAAAGCTAGCACAAACGAAGAAGAAAGACTGCTTCCAACTACATTCAACTTACTTTGTTGCATCGTGACCCTTGAAGAAGGCGTTGATGGTCTCTGTGAAGGCCACTGCCAGGGGCACGGTGTCGGACATGCCGATGGTCAGTGGACTGGGACCGCGGGAGGAGCCAATGGGCATGGAGGTAGTGTTGAACGTCACGCTGCCGCTGCTCTCGGACCGAGAGATTATTGGGATCGGACTGTTCTGACCCGTCGTCTTAGACTTGAAACAATCACACAGACAGACTATTCAATCTCTTCCACTAGTTCTTTACTCATAAATGTATGAAATAGACAAATTCCATGGATCACTCAGTGTCCATGGTGTCCTTTCACCTTAAATACAAACACAACAACAAAGTGATTGGCAAACAATCTAATACTCTTGGACTAGAGAGAGAGAGAGTTGGGTTTAACGCCGCTTTTAACAGTTTTACACTTGTATCACGGCGTGTCAGCTTAATGTGGGAGGAAATCCTGAAGTGATGCACGCATTAGATGTCTACCACTTTGGTGAAACCCACAAGCACGGGTAAGGTGCTGACAAACCTAGAAACATAATCGGGGTGAACCAGGGTTTGAACCCACAAGCATAGGTTTCTGTCATGGCCAAGGGACGCAACTCTGCACAGTGAATCGCAGTGCCTTAGACGATTGGGCCAACCGTGCCCCCCGACAAAGAGAGAGGGGGAGGGAGGGAGGGAGGCTCTTAATGATGATGCCATATTCTGTGAGATTGTTGACGAGGCTTGCTTCTACTGTGACAATTGACACTAAACATGATTACTCCACAGATGGCAATAAGACAGCCTTTGACAGAGGTGTGTACCTGAGAGAAAATACCCTTGTTCCGTGAAGGTGGTCTCGCGATGGCTGAAGTTAGATTGATGCCCCCTAGGGGTGATGAGACCTGACTAGAGACAGAAGGAGTGTTCCGCCCCGTGCTGCTGCCACTGACATCATGACCCAGTAACTCATTGAAGGCTGGAGGGAAACAACAGCACCATATCAATTCCGGCTACATCCTACCCTTACATCCTCTATCTCTAGGAAGCTCATATCACAGTTACTGATGGGGATAGTTTGTTGTTTAACGCCACACTCAGCAATATTCAACCTATATGATGGTAGTCTGTAAATAATCAAGTCTGGACCAGACAATCCAGTGAATTACATCATGAGCATCAATCTATACAATTGGGATACGATAATATGCATCAACAAAGTGAGCGAGCGACCACCTGATTCCGTTAGTAGCCTATAATGAGAAGCATGGGTTGCTGAAAAACAATTCTAACCATTATACTCATTGGTCGATTGGGTTAGTGTCAGAGCGCAGAAAGAAGTAAGCATTAGTAGTAATACTATCAGGAACATTAGTGGGACACACTGAAGATTGTTGGTGGTGATGTTTGTTACATTAACAACTAATATCTATTCATAATCAGGAGAAGTGTTTATCATCGTTGGATGTTTGAATACTTTGGCAGAACATGAATCCATAAATTTGTAAAATGATTAAGAGGAAATCTTTTGCAGACCAAAGCAAATATAAATATGCTGTGCATGTTGGCAACAAAAAGTACGTAGTACAGTTGGTGTGACCCACGCTTGTGAGGAAAGTGTACACAATGCCTATCATTCTGGCTGTATTTACATGTATTTAGCAGCTGCAGTAACATGTTTACCCCATTGCATTGATCTAAGACATAAAGTTGGTTGAAACTATATCTTCTTTCCCTGTATTGACAGCACGTTTCAGTGGCCAACAGCACATAGTAAACACATAGTAAACACATAGTAAACACATAGAACAATTCACAATGACTCTCAGTGCATATATAAAACTCTCTCAAGCAATCTACCAATCCGAAATAAGTACTGACAAACATCTTATTCTTGGATGGATAGAGTTGTCACTTTTATTATACAGTTGCAAGCTCCTTCTCAGAGCGTGACACCTTCGTTACACTCTCGGGAACATCGCTGCCACCAGTGTGGGTGCCGCCATTACAAGAATGTTGAAATTTGCCCTCTAACCCCAAATGATGTAACACTCATACTTTTGTTCATGTCTTTGGGAATGCCATCATAGATCATTTTGGAAAGGTTTATGACTGACCATGTTTTCCAGATGAATTTACTTTGTTGTTTGTAATCAGATTGGTTCGAGATTGCAGACTAACGAAAAATCAATCAACTTCTCCTTTACATTCTTACTATATCAATTACATGATAGTTTTAATGAAATGGAAATTCAAATTGACAAACAAAGAAGATAATTTAGCAGGGATAAGTGTATTCGGCGACAAGACAGTCGTCACTTGTTTGTAAACATAACAGTTATTCGGTTGCTGGTTCAAGTCCAAGCATGGTTGTGGTCATCTATCACTGTGGGGAGTTTTGACTGGTGGCAACGATAGTATTGAGAGCTCCGCGAACGGGATATCGCTGTGAGGAGCTTGACTACAGTTGAATTGTGAATCAAAGATGGCCTGTGTGCATGAAATGACAGATATAAGCAGACGGGAGTTTGGTATTGTCTGTGTGGTTTCTGGGTGGGAGCTGGGTGTTGTCTGTTGGGCAAAGCAGGATTCACACTTGCAATACACTTACGATAATAGTTCTTCAATGCACAAATTCCACTAACATCAAGTCACCTATATTCTTGTTTGGAAGTCATGGTTAGTAGAATTTATATAAATCTATGAGGACTGTTTTTCAACAGGTTTACAATTGATTAGTATAAAGAAAATGTAAAAATCTGGGATAAGGTAGAATGGTTAACATGTGGTTAGTTCATACATTTCAACACATGCTTATTAGTTACATCTATATAGAGATGGGTGAATTCCCCCTTCAATGCGCTCAATAGAACTGCTGGAGTGGACCCTTTAAGTGATAGTCATCCAGCTATAACTAATCCATTTTTAACAGAAACCTGGGAAACATCAAGTGTATTAGGCTGCAGACATTTTCAAGAGAAAGTCCCATGTTCTGTGACAACAATGAACCAATGCCTACAACAATGATAACACAAGTCATCCTGAAGGCAAACTAAGGTAGCAGCAAAAGCCAATCTCACTGGTTGAAGCTGATGTAGGGGAGGTAACTGTGCTTGGCGAGGCACTGTTCCAGTTGATTTGTGTTTGGGGCGACAGCGGCGAGGGCAGGTTGTAGTTACCAGTGCTGCCAGTAGGGGTGGAAGCGGTGGACGACGACACCAGGAAGTCCAGGTTCAGGAGATCTTGACTAGGTTTGATTGCACTGAAATGCATAAGTATCTACCATTATCGTGGAGAATAACATCTCACCACATAACCAAGTCAACTGTGACAGCGATTCGGAAAAAGTCAGTAATGGTACTATAGTGATGTTAACTCGCATAACAACTGTAGCTAAGATTGCATGGCTGAATGGTAACTGTCAGGAATATCAAAAATGACTGAGGTGTACTTACTCTAACGCATCAGTCTGAATGGTAACTGTCTTAGTCTAGAACACTGGCAATGACTGAGGTAATAAAAGCCCTATTATTACCCCGGTCACTGGATCACTGTGCACTCAAGAATCATTCTCAGCTCCCTGGGGAGTATACAACCCAAGCTGCCTGTTGGGTGCTAGAAAGTTAACAACCACATTGCCATCTCATCCTACCAGGTACCCATTCGCTGTGGGTGAACAGTGGCAAATTTTGAACAAAGTCCCTTCCTTGCCCAAGGAGACGCCACATGATTTATATGTGCTTCAGTGTGGGGAAGGACTGAAGCCTTAGAAACTCTCAGGAGCCAAGCTGCCGAAATGTGGTCACCCATCCAAGGACTCTTGGTGACCGATGTTGCTTAACTTCACCAGATTTGTGACCTGTGCACAGGACCAAGTGCCAGGATTACTTACTCTAACGTATCAGACTGAATGGTAACTGTCTGCAACACTGACAAGGACTGAGGTGTACTTACTCTAACGTATCAGACTGAATGGTAACTGTCTGCAACACTGACAAGGACTGAGGTGTACTTACTCTAACGTATCAGACTGAATGGTAACTGTCTGCAACACTGACAAGGACTGAGGTGTACTTACTCTAACGTATTAGACTGAATGGTAACTGTCTGCAACACTGACAAGGACTGAGGTGTACTTACTCTAACGTATCAGACTGAATGGTAACTGTCTGCAACACTGACAAGGACTGAGGTGTACTTACTCTAACGTATTAGACTGAATGGTAACTGTCTGCAACACTGACAAGGACTGAGGTGTACTTACTCTAACGTATCAGACTGAATGGTAACTGTCTGCAACACTGACAAGGACTGAGGTGTACTTACTCTAACGTATCAGACTGAATGGTAACTGTCTGCAACACTGACAAGGACTGAGGTGTACTTACTCTAACGTATCAGACTGAATGGTAACTGTCTGCAACACTGACAAGGACTGAGGTGTACTTACTCTAACGTATTAGACTGAATGGTAACTGTCTGCAACACTGACAAGGACTGAGGTGTACTTACTCTAACGTATCAGACTGAATGGTAACTGTCTGCAACACTGACAAGGACTGAGGTGTACTTACTCTAACGTATCAGACTGAATGGTAACTGTCTGCAACACTGACAAGGACTGAGGTGTACTTACTCTAACGTATCAGACTGAATGGTAACTGTCTGCAACACTGACAAGGACTGAGGTGTACTTACTCTAACGTATCAGACTGAATGGTAACTGTCTGCAACACTGACAAGGACTGAGGTGTACTTACTCTAACGTATCAGACTGAATGGTAGCTGTCTGCAACACTGACAAGGACTGAGGTGTACTTACTCTAACGTATCAGACTGAATGGTAACTGTCTGCAACACTGACAAGGACTGAGGTGTACTTACTCTAACGTATCAGACTGAATGGTAACTGTCTGCAACACTGACAAGGACTGAGGTGTACTTACTCTAACGTATCAGACTGAATGGTAACTGTCTGCAACACTGACAAGGACTGAGGTGTACTTACTCTAACGTATCAGACTGAATGGTAGCTGTCTGCAACACTGACAAGGACTGAGGTGTACTGACTCTAACGTATTAGACTGAATGGTAACTGTCTGCAACACTGACAAGGACTGAGGTGTACTTACTCTAACGTATCAGACTGAATGGTAACTGTCTGCAACACTGACAAGGACTGAGGTGTACTGACTCTAACGTATTAGACTGAATGGTAACTGTCTGCAACACTGACAAGGACTGAGGTGTACTTACTCTAACGTATCAGACTGAATGGTAACTGTCTGCAACACTGACAAGGACTGAGGTGTACTTACTCTAACGTATCAGACTGAATGGTAACTGTCTGCAACACTGACAAGGACTGAGGTGTACTTACTCTAACGTATCAGACTGAATGGTAACTGTCTGCAACACTGACAAGGACTGAGGTGTACTTACTCTAACGTATCAGACTGAATGGTAGCTGTCTGCAACACTGACAAGGACTGAGGTGTACTGACTCTAACGTATTAGACTGAATGGTAACTGTCTGCAACACTGACAAGGACTGAGGTGTACTTACTCTAACGTATCAGACTGAATGGTAACTGTCTGCAACACTGACAAGGACTGAGGTGTACTGACTCTAACGTATTAGACTGAATGGTAACTGTCTGCAACACTGACAAGGACTGAGGTGTACTTACTCTAACGTATCAGACTGAATGGTAACTGTCTGCAACACTGACAAGGACTGAGGTGTACTTACTCTAACGTATCAGACTGAATGGTAACTGTCTGCAACACTGACAAGGACTGAGGTGTACTTACTCTAACGTATCAGACTGAATGGTAACTGTCTGCAACACTGACAAGGACTGAGGTGTACTTACTCTAACGTATCAGACTGAATGGTAACTGTCTGCAACACTGACAAGGACTGAGGTGTACTTACTCTAACGTATCAGACTGAATGGTAACTGTCTGCAACACTGACAAGGACTGAGGTGTACTTACTCTAACGTATTAGACTGAATGGTAACTGTCTGCAACACTGACAAGGACTGAGGTGTACTTACTCTAACGTATCAGACTGAATGGTAACTGTCTGCAACACTGACAAGGACTGAGGTGTACTTACTCTAACGTATTAGACTGAATGGTAACTGTCTGCAACACTGACAAGGACTGAGGTGTACTTACTCTAACGTATCAGACTGAATGGTAACTGTCTGCAACACTGACAAGGACTGAGGTGTACTTACTCTAACGTATCAGACTGAATGGTAACTGTCTGCAACACTGACAAGGACTGAGGTGTACTTACTCTAACGTATCAGACTGAATGGTAACTGTCTGCAACACTGACAAGGACTGAGGTGTACTGACTCTAACGTATTAGACTGAATGGTAACTGTCTGCAACACTGACAAGGACTGAGGTGTACTTACTCTAACGTATTAGACTGAATGGTAACTGTCTGCAACACTGACAAGGACTGAGGTGTACTTACTCTAACGTATTAGACTGAATGGTAACTGTCTGCAACACTGACAAGGACTGAGGTGTACTTACTCTAACGTATTAGACTGAATGGTAACTGTCTGCAACACTGACAAGGACTGAGGTGTACTTACTCTAACGTATTAGACTGAATGGTAACTGTCTGCAACACTGACAAGGACTGAGGTGTACTTACTCTAACGTATCAGACTGAATGGTAACTGTCTGCAACACTGACAAGGACTGAGGTGTACTTACTCTAACGTATCAGACTGAATGGTAACTGTCTGCAACACTGACAAGGACTGAGGTGTACTTACTCTAACGTATTAGACTGAATGGTAACTGTCTGCAACACTGACAAGGACTGAGGTGTACTTACTCCAACGTATCAGACTGAATGGTAACTGTCTGCAACACTGACAAGGACTGAGGTGTACTTACTCTAACGTATCAGACTGAATGGTAACTGTCTGCAACACTGACAAGGACTGAGGTGTACTTACTCTAACGTATCAGACTGAATGGTAACTGTCTGCAACACTGACAAGGACTGAGGTGTACTTACTCTAACGTATTAGACTGAATGGTAACTGTCTGCAACACTGACAAGGACTGAGGTGTACTTACTCTAACGTATCAGACTGAATGGTAACTGTCTGCAACACTGACAAGGACTGAGGTGTACTTACTCTAACGTATCAGACTGAATGGTAACTGTCTGCAACACTGACAAGGACTGAGGTGTACTTACTCTAACGTATTAGACTGAATGGTAACTGTCTGCAACACTGACAAGGACTGAGGTGTACTTACTCTAACGTATTAGACTGAATGGTAACTGTCTGCAACACTGACAAGGACTGAGGTGTACTTACTCTAACGTATCAGACTGAATGGTAACTGTCTGCAACACTGACAAGGACTGAGGTGTACTTACTCTAACGTATTAGACTGAATGGTAACTGTCTGCAACACTGACAAGGACTGAGGTGTACTTACTCTAACGTATCAGACTGAATGGTAACTGTCTGCAACACTGACAAGGACTGAGGTGTACTTACTCTAACGTATCAGACTGAATGGTAACTGTCTGCAACACTGACAAGGACTGAGGTGTACTGACTCTAACGTATTAGACTGAATGGTAACTGTCTGCAACACTGACAAGGACTGAGGTGTACTTACTCTAACGTATTAGACTGAATGGTAACTGTCTGCAACACTGACAAGGACTGAGGTGTACTTACTCTAACGTATTAGACTGAATGGTAACTGTCTGCAACACTGACAAGGACTGAGGTGTACTTACTCTAACGTATTAGACTGAATGGTAACTGTCTGCAACACTGACAAGGACTGAGGTGTACTTACTCTAACGTATCAGACTGAATGGTAACTGTCTGCAACACTGACAAGGACTGAGGTGTACTTACTCTAACGTATCAGACTGAATGGTAACTGTCTGCAACACTGACAAGGACTGAGGTGTACTTACTCTAACGTATTAGACTGAATGGTAACTGTCTGCAACACTGACAAGGACTGAGGTGTACTTACTCTAACGTATCAGACTGAATGGTAACTGTCTGCAACACTGACAAGGACTGAGGTGTACTTACTCTAACGTATCAGACTGAATGGTAACTGTCTGCAACACTGACAAGGACTGAGGTGTACTTACTCTAACGTATCAGACTGAATGGTAACTGTCTGCAACACTGACAAGGACTGAGGTGTACTTACTCTAACGTATTAGACTGAATGGTAACTGTC